GCCATTTCCCCTTGTCGTGGGTCAGTTATAGATTACATGCATTCAGCTGTAAGTGTTTGGGCGAAGGCCCAACTCGAGTTAGGTGATCCCATTTTTTTTTTATCGAATTCGCGCGAAATTTGAGCCTTGCATGCACAAATGCAGTTGCTTTAAAATTATGGCATATTATTGTGGGCATAGAAAGCATGTAAATGGGTTCGACAGGCAAATCGCAGCCATAAATGGACTTGTTTATGTGCAGCTAGCACAAAATTGGACATGCCAGGCTGGCGTTACGAGCACAGTGAACTGTGCCATTAAATTGACATCAATTTGACAACAGACAGTGACTTCTCAGGGAGTAGGCAATCACAGAAACTTCACAAATGCTCAGCTGGCTTTAATTTGTTCGTCTGCTATAAATTTATAGTACTTTATAGCAAAATATAAATGTTATAGAAATGTTTATAAATGTAATTAATGAGCACATCTCGATTGGGGACAACATTCGGACTTGCTATAAATTTATAGCACTTTATAGCAGATTGCAAATATGCCACTATAAATGTAATACAATGCATGCAGCTCAATTGAGATCAACACTTCAGACTTGCCATAAATTTATAGCACCTACAACAAACCGCTAAAGATCAAAGGCCCGTAATCTGTTTTTTCACCCCCGAAACATCAATGTGCCAAAAATGCCTGCCATTTTTGAGCTGGCCCCAAACAAATCAATAAATTGATGGGAACAATAGGCACAAAGACCTTTTCGAAACCCTACTCGTTCGCACTGCCTCATTCTGGCCTACAAGTGTGTACATGTCCGAAGAAAAAACAATAAAAGAAATGTGAATAATTAAAATTTCAATTTGTTTTGCATGCACATGATACAACTTTTGGCGGCGTGTGGCACTTGAGGCGTCAAAAAATCAAAAGAAAACATTTTAATAAATCAAAATCAAATAATAGACCAGTATTTCGATAGACTTATGGACAGCTCTTGACATGCTGCTGGCCATACGTAATGTAAGGCCATAAAGAATTTTCCCATCTAGTATAGAACGAAAACAACTGCCTGTGTTAAGTTGAGCTTGTAAAAGTGTCAAGTAGCCGAAAATTTAAATGGCAACACTCCCCCGATAAGTTTGACATTTGCAGCAAGGTTTTATTGTGTCGAATGAGAATCAAAAACCAAAAGTTGATTTACATAGTTGCGATTTATTCGGATTCGCCTGAGTCAACGGTTAAATTTGTATATAACTCTTCCATCCGGCTGCCCAAAAAGCTGATTGCAAGTGTCAAAAGTCAACAGCAAAATGTCACGTTTTGTTGCTTTTTATATTTCTTCAGTTCATTGAAAGCAAAAAACAAAAACAAAAACAATCGCAATTGACATTTATTAAGCAAACGAAATGCACTTGAAAAACGATGCACAATATTTTTATTATGATTTTGATTTTTATATTTTTTAGCTTTTTGGGTTGAGTTTGAGTTGATTGAAATGATTTTCTCGCGCTTGTCAAAATACAACTCGCTTGTAAATTGACAAATTATGGACATAAATTTCTTGACAGTTTTATTGCCATTAAAGTTGCCTTCTTCTCGTTTTTTTTACTCAGTTTTATAGTCTTTTTTCTTTTTTTGTTTGTTCGTTCCAAAAGAAGCGACTCAATTACTTTGAGTGACCAATTTACCGACGGTTTTTGTTTTATATATTTTGTTTTTTGCTTAGGGTCTGCGACACTTGACGTCGAAATTTATAATAAATGGTTTTATATTTAGTTTTAATGTTTTGGGTCAGTTGGGCGCAGCCAAAAGTAAATTCGTTGAAAATTGTTGAGAGAGTTATGCAATGGATAAGATGAAATATAGACTTGAGAAAGTACGACAGAAACTGAAATGTTACATTTAATTATGACTGGGTAGATTAAAAACTCAGTCCAAATAAAAATATCAGAGTCATTGCAAACAGTCAAAGTGAATCAAGTTTTAAATAATTCGCACAATTGAATTATCTGTCATTTAAGCTGATCGATTTTCTAAGAGGCCAGTTCCAAAAACTCGAAAGCTAACAAGGTCACCAAAAACCCAAACAACTGCGGCTGACACATCTTCGTAAACTTGACAACTGAGTAACTAACACATGAAAAAAAGGCATTGAAATTGACATTTGAATTTCAATGGCATTCATAGAAATTGCAGATATCGTTTGGGTGCACACAATAAATACAAATGAGTATATAAAATACTTGTTCGTATAAATCAAATACTCATGAGTAGTGGGCGTCAAAGCAATGTCAAATAAATTGTAGTCCCAAAAAATCAAATCAATTGAAATTAAAGCAAAAACAAAATAGAGTTTTGTGGCTCAAAGACACAACATTTAAATAACGCCCAAGCAATTGTATTTTGTATCTGTATCTTGAGTCTGTTTTGTCATTTGAATGTGACCCACCTTCTAAATAGCTTTGACAGCTATTTTTAGTCATAATTTGACAGCCTTGCAATTGACTTGTATCTCTCCCAGCGCAGAGTTCAAAAAACTTTCGCTTATCAAATTACGGCAGACAACGTTAAACTCAACAAGACTTGGCATATGCCATATGCCATTTGCCATTTGCTCTTTTCTGCTGCTGTTGCTGTTGCCCAACTCGACTCTTTCTTTATAACAAATTGCAAAAAGCCACTGAAATAAACCAGCTCACAAAACTGCATTTAATGACAGGCTCCACGAAACGATGACGAACTTACCAAAAAAAACAATTTAATAGTCAGCTGTTAAGTTCACCCACCAAAAAGCAAGAAGAGACGCCAACAGAAAAAAAAAGCATTTCAAATATATTGCAAAACACACGAGAAAAAGTGGAGAAAAGTCAAGAGAAACAAAATGCTAACCCTCAACTCCCACTGATGCCATAACAACTGTCAAGTTGATCCAAAAGTCAGCGTGGAAAACGAATGCTGTAAATTATGATTTTATGACAGAAAACTTTTTAAAAGCCAATAAATTTTCGCAGGGCATGTCAAAATATATAAAAAATAAGAAATTGTAATAAAAAAAAAGCCAAAGCAAAAGATTAAACATAGGAAGTAGACAAGTTTTGCTGGGAACTCTCACAATGGCACCTTGAAATGTGGCAAACAGTTAACTACACTGCAAAAAATTGGCTAGCTTAAGATGTATTATATAACTGGAGATAAGTTTAGCTAAGACTTGGTATAAAGAGGATGGGACATGGTTTCAATGACAAACTATCAATTAAGAACATTATCTGATTTGAAAAATGCTAAGTATAAGGAAAAAGTAAAGTTTTATTTCTTGCACTTTAGAATTATTATAAGAAACTAAAGAGGATAATCGCCTTGCCTGACAATAGAACAAATATAGACTAGTATATAATAAAAAATACTAAGTATAAAGCTTTGGGAGAATATTGGTAAAATATAAGCTCTATTTCTGCAGTTCTTAAGAGTTTATCTTAAAACTAAAAACAACAAGAAAAGGGTTTCTTTATGGCATAAGATAATAAAAGATTAGTATTTAATAAAAGAAGCAAGTATAAAGCTTCAAGTTAATGCAGAATTGACAAAATAAGAATAAAGACTAGTAATAAATAAAAAAAAAAGTACATAAAAAACCTATTTTTTCTGCAGCTCTTTTGAATTTATATAAAAACTTAACAGTGGGATATAGAATGTTAAAGAGGTCTTGGAGCGTATTCTAAAGACTTAATAACTTTAAACCCGTTCATTTTTTTATAATTTTTTCTTATTTTATCTTTTTGATTTTAAAATCATAAAATATTAATTAATTTTATTATCTTATTATATTATTTACCCATTTCGCTCAGTGTGCTCGACTTACTGGTTAACTCATTATGTTGCTATTCATAGGCAAACTTGTGCAGCACAGCAAACTTTCGCAGCACTCGCAAAACGAGGCTTTGTTGCGACCCCCCCAAGAAAAAGGGTTAGGATTATTATGCATGCCACTGAATGCAAAGCCAATACACACACATTTGACTGACTGACTGACTGTCTGGCACATCTGCCTGCCCCTCACTACGATATACAGATAGAAAAAAAGGGCAACAAACAGAGGCGCACACAAAAAAGCCAATAATTGGTCATGACTTTTTGGTTACCAAGTTGCAAGGGAAGTGTAAGCTAGTTGTGCCTGGTTATGTTATGGCCTACAAGTGCATAGAAAGAGGCAAGAGTTCTTAACTACGCGCACCCTTCGTACCCAACAAATATTAATAAAGTCTTGGGCCTTTTGATGATTTGCCGACAAACGCCGCCTTGACAATGAAAACTGCTAAATGCCGTTGACTGACATTCGAGTTCTTTTGGGTGCTTTTGGGCTTGTGAGTTAGTTATGGTTATGTCTTGACATGGCGTTGATTTTTGTTTTATTTGTTGTGCATTATACCCATTGAAAATGGATAGAGACGGCATGTACGACAACAAGGTGTATTATGCTCGTAAGCAGGGTGATAATCTGGTTAGATCTCATGGGTTTAAAAATATTTAAAATTTAGAAAAATGCTGAAAACCGATAAGCTTCGATTTATAGCTGAAACTAGTCATAAAATTTGCTATTAGGTTTGTTGTAAATTCCTCATAGAACACGAATAGATTCTAAATTCCTTAAAATGAAGGACTGTAAGGCTGTAACAGAAAGAAGCACAGCAAGTTTCATCTTTTACAGGGTATTCGTAATTTTCTCTCGTTTCTCTCCCTTTTATTGAGGTTTTTAAGAGGGGACATTACCATTTTATTTATGGTGTGTACTTGGAATGCACATCGACTATTCAGTATAGATATATATATAAACATATTTTCTGTTATGCCTGCTGTGGTTGGTTACCGTCAGTTGGTTCCGCTGCACGTCAAGGGTTAAAGTCAAGGGTTTAAGTGCCATCGTCCGTAGAGTTTAGCAAACAAATTAATGTGTTTATATCGTCGTATTTGATATTTAACTTACAGAATTTCCTTTCGATTTGCTTTCTTTGCAGAGTTGCCCCACAATAGCAACAAGAAGAACATCAACACAAATGTTGTGCGGCCCGCAGACACATTGCCCAACAGCTGGTTATCAATAATAATTCTTTTTGGCCGGTTCCATAAGAACAACCAACCACTAAGCACCACCCTGTGGCGACAGCACTCACTGTGCCATTTTGGATAACATTGGAAAGTCAACACCCACACACTCCACACACACTCCACCCACACACCATACACACTCACAAACATAACTCAAAACGATGTTGGATCGATGTGAAATGCCGGTAAGTTTCTGAGAATTGAAGAGAGAGCAATGGGGGGAAGTTAGTTGAGAGCGAGAAAGCTGATTTATTGCCAGATTATAGAATATGAAATCCAGATCTTAAGAGAGTATTTTGATAACATTTCAATTTAAAGAAAATGAAGAGTAAGATGTAAAATAAGGTGATGGTAGATAGAAACTGAGAAACTGAATATTGCAATAACAGTTGCCTAGAAATAAATCTGATTATTTGAGATGTGAAAGGTGAAGACTTTAGAGAACAGATACGACTTCAGGCTGAACAGATCAGGCAAATATGGTTCAAATAAAAAAAAAATCAAAATACACAATTGATTTGGCATTAATTGGGCTTAGTTGTATTTTAAAAAAAATTATAAATGTGTTTTTACTATAATTTGAATATATGTCGTGTCTTAATGATGCAGTACGCTAAATTTTATGCAGATTTTGTGAGATTTGTAGCCAAGTCACATAGATATGCTCAATAAAGTATGCAGTGCAACTTAGAGAAAATTGACTTTTTGAGATGAGCTGCAAAGTATGCTACAACATTTTAATAGAAATTTGTTTTGAAATGAATTTCAGTTGATAAAAGCACAATCAGAGCCAGACATAGGTTATTTAAACTGATTTAAATTAAATATAAATATTATTTATTAACAAATCAATGTTTACAGTTCGAAGCCTGTGAAAATATTACTAAACACTTTTATTATTTATGAAAGAATATACAACATTTTACCCAAACCTCAAACAGATACAATTGGACAACGAGAAGCTGCGACGCGATGTGCGTCTGTCCGGCTCGCGGCTGGACTTGCCACAGCTGTGCAATGTGGGCCGTCGCCTTGACGGACACATGAACAGCAACGGCAACGGCAACAGCAACAGTATCAACAACAACAACAACAACAACGAGATAACAACAACATCAATAACTACTCAAAATGTAAATGGCAGCAACAACAATCTGGGCTCTCCGGTCTCCTGCTCGACCACAAACAGCGGCAGCGGCAACGAGCGCGGCTCCTCGACCAAATCGAACAGCAGCAGCGGCAGCGGCAGCTCCGGCAACTCGGCAAGCAGCACAGGCAGCGCCGAGCTCAAGTGCAACACGCCCATGACACCATCAGGTGAGTGGGGTGGGTTGGGGCTTAGCCGCGGGCAGCAGGGTTAGGCTCTTGTCAACATTTGCATTGGTTTTTAGTGCGTTGGATTCATACGCATCGCTGGCGTCCAATGCGAATTAGCAAAGCTCACGCTCCCTGAGCTCAGAGTTTGGTCCAAAGCGTCAGGAGCGGTCGGATGGGGGAGTAAAAGGCTGCGCATTAATTAATTTTATATACAAATGGCAACGAGGTCAGGGTCGCAGATATCTGCCACATGGGTTAGCTTTCAATTACATTTGCTCTTTGGCATTCATTTTAGCGCCGCGGCGCTTAAAACAGCGAAAAGGTCCATTGAAAATGCCAAAACGAAAAGTGCGCTTCACTTTTTTCTTTCTTTGTGTAACTTTATATAGGAACGAAAGATAGAAGCTGCGACTTGGGCGAAGCCAAATTAGATATTAAGTAATTGCCTTATCAAAGGTCAGTCAAAATGAGTGGAAATTTACTTTTAAATAAATGAAATAAAAAACAAATAAAATTTTAGTTAGTTACATTATAATTTTTGTTAAATTTTCATATAAAATATGTTTTTTTAAAGTTTTAAAAATGCTTCTATTTTTATAATTTTTGCCATTAATAATACTTATAAAGCGAATAGGAATACAGATAGCTTGGTACAACGTATACCCTTATATATTATTTTCATTATCCATTAACATATTTAGAGCTCGTAAAAAAACATTATTTAACTGCTCTTTATGCCTTATACATTCACTGATTTGTATATATTTGTTCATTATCCCGTCTAGAGCTTGTTAAAAAATATCGCAATTATTTGACTGATCTGGAATTTGAGGAGCTGAAGGTGTACAAAGAGGTCTGGTATTTCGGCCAGCATGCCAGCAAGAATTACAATAAGCCCGCCCCCACAGCCAATACCACAAATTTGGGCTATGATGATGACAATGGCAATTACAAGATCGTAAGTCGAAATAGCGCACATAAATTATAGTTTCTAATGCCTTTGCTTTGCTTTCGACAGATTGAACACGATCATATAGCCTTCCGCTACGAGATATTGGAGGTGATCGGCAAGGGCAGCTTTGGTCAGGTGATCAGAGCACTCGATCACAAGACCAACACGCATGTGGCCATCAAGATCATAAGGAATAAGAAGCGCTTCCTCAACCAGGCGGTCGTTGAGCTCAACATATTGGACGAGCTGCGCGAAAAGGATGCAGATGGATCTCATAATGTTATACATATGCTTGACTATACATATTTCCGTAGACATTTGTGCATCACCTTCGAGCTAATGAGGTGAGTTATATCCGCGAGTTTTTCCTGGGTTTTTCTTCTTATTAAATTGATTATGCTGCGACGACGTCAAAGCCGCGACGAATGTCTGTCACGGCACATAAATGTTCTCGTATTTCTTATATAACTTGCCAATTACAAACGCATATTCCACGCATATTTCTATTGACATTCAGCCAAATTAAATTTATTCGCAACTTTTTTTCTTTTGTTGCGTTCGTTCCTTTGCGTGCGCTGTGGCCATTAGAACGCATTTTTTATATAAGCCAACATGCGAGTCCTTTTTGGCTTTGACAAGTGCCTAGCACGCATTGCGTTGATCCTCTGTTGCGCTTTTTGCCTTGGCAACCATACGACCCCCCCAAATAAAACATTTTGGCCATGTGTGCCCAGCGAAATATATCCAAAAGTCAACCTAGAGAAGTCGCTCACAGAAATGTGCCCTATTATAAATACATATTAATAATATCAGCGTGTGTCTCTCATATGGCCCTTGTCTTTGATTTCGTTTTTTTATTATGCTTATAAATCTCTTTGAGTGGCAATCATAAAAGTCAAGTGGTTTTCGTAATTATTAAACAATGATTTTTAATTGTTTTTATAGCTGCGTTTATTTTGATCGTTTTACCGCGCTTAATATGTCAATAGTCTACATTTACCTAGTCTCTCTATTAATAGGGTTATAGTTAAGTATAATTGAACCGAAGATAGAACCAGCAAATGTTTTTTCCATTATTATTAATCAGAGAATGCTGTTCAGATCTGTTGGAACACTTCTTAACCTTCCTTTTACCTAATTTAGTGCCCAAATTTTATAGTTCAAACCTAATCTGACCTAGTTCTAGAAAAAACGTTCATTAGAACGACTTCATTTATTTTCATTCATTTTCAATCATTTTCAATTGCATCGCAGAGAGTGGGAAATGCAAGAAATTTATAAGTTTATCAATTACTAGCGGGTATAACCCGGCCTTGCCCGTGGCACGTATGTTATAAAATCAAAAAAGCTTTGAAAATGATTTTAAAACTGATCGGACGGGAATCAAACAACTTTTATGCAAATCGGAAAACTCTTAAAATTCACCAAAAAAATCTTTGAAATGCATTTTCCACCGAAGGAGTTTAGATTTTGCGAGAAATGTGAAACACGTCTCTAATGATTTTTCTTATAGATCTTTGGAAATAAATTTGAACACAAAACGTCATCCACCATATCTTCGACCCCCATTTGCAAAAAGGAGGGATGGATTTTTCAAAAAGTGTGAAACACCCCTCAAATGAATTTGAATAAAGATCTTTGAAAATTAGTTTGGGGCCGATCGGATGCTAAACAAAAAACTTTCATACAACCCTTTACAACTCCGCCAATTTACCACTGTTGCGGGTGGAATTTTCCAAATCGCTGAAATACGTACTTATTAAGTTCTTATGAAGAGCTTTAAAAATAAGTTTGAAGCAAATCGGACACAACTTAAAACGCCGGCCAAAAAATCTTTAAATCGCATTCCCCCCGAAGAAGTTTGAATTCTGCGAAAAGTGAGAAACACGTCTCAAATGATTTTTCATATAGATCACTGGAAATGAATTTGAGCGCGAAACATCACCCACCAAATCTTTGACCTCCATTTCCACCATTAGGAATGGGTTTTCCGAAAAGTGCGAAACACCCCTCAAATGAATTTGAACAAAGATCTTTGAAAATAAGTTTGGGGCCGATCGGATGGTAAACAAAAAAGTTACATACAAACGTTTTTCGCGATTGTTCCACACTTGCGAGTGGAATTTCTCGAAACCCCGTCTTAACGTGCACCTACATTACATAAGGTAACTACAGTGAAAATTTCCTAGCTCTTACGGTTTGGGCTGTGCGTTGATCACCAATCAGTCAGTCAGTCAGTCAGTCAGTCAGTCAGTCAGTCAGTCAGGACAAACAGTTTTATATATAGAGATAAATTGTTGTAACTTTAAAAATTTTGTATAGAAATATAGAAATTTTACAGTTTTAAATCTTAGATATAAAATAGAATTGCAGCTTTATAAATTTAAATGCCACTTTAATGCAAGTTGCCAGCAGCCGCGAGTAAACAAATAAATTTATAATTTATTTGCTGGCATGCCACCTACACACAACACACACTGCACACACACTCCAGCTGACAGCAAAAGGAAGTGTATGAACAGCAAACCGCAGGCGCTCGCCGCTTGGCTATCAATTTCAATTTAAATATTCTGTAGCCTACTTTCCGCTGAATGGAGGAGGCGTTGCGGTACGGGGTAAACTGCAAGTAGCTGCGTGCTGCAGGTGTGTGTGCGGTTGTGCGTGCGTGTGTGTGTGTATGTATGTATCTTTATTTACCTGTTGTTGCCTGCGATAACATCGCAATCTAATTGATAGACAGGCAGCCGCCCCTATCGGCTGATGATTTCATGGCCCGAGGAGAGCGTGCGCCGCTCCCCCCGCTCCCACATCGACTGGCCGCGACTGCATATGTCAAAGTTTAGACAGCTGGCAACACAAATATGGCAACTAACACGCGATATTCGCGCAAAAACACAAAATAGAAATAGTGCAAAAACGAAACGTAAGGTATAAAGTAAAAAGCAAAGTTTTTAGTATTTGCTGAAGGTCATGGTTTTAGCCATTGACTTGCTTCCGTTTCCGCTTTCGGCCACGCCCCTTTGCAAGCCGCATTGCTGCTGCCTGGCATTTCCGCCTAATTTGTCTTAATTGCGGACCCACAAGTTGCCGGCCCAGTTGACATTTTTGAGCAGTGTTTCTGATTTTCTAATCTCGTTTCATTAAATGGATTAACAGCACGCCATCTAGCGGCAGTTTTTCCCTGATTTTCAGTGCTTTTCTCTGCACGAATCGATCTGGCGACAAAAAATAAATAGTTTCACCATGCAAAAACTTAATTAATTATTTTGCCTTTTTTTGGGGTCTAATTAGCCGCAAAATCGCTTTTCGAGTGCGCACTTTGCGTCTTCTTCTTGTTTTTGCCCCAAAGAGAAGTTTGAACAAAGTTCTGACCATGGAACTGTTGTAGGATTGGGTTAGTCGAGGGGTGAAGTGCTGCATTGACATTTTCCCCTATCCCCGCTTCCCCCCCCTTACTCTGGCAACTTTAAAGTTTGTTGTGAACGAGTAAACAAATTGTGTGGCCAAGTTTGACGTAATTAAATTTACGTGCACGCAATTGAATTCTCCATGTTAATTTGTTTTTCTTCTTTGGTAGGAAACTCGCAAATTAAGTTAGTTCGATGAGTGGATTAGCGGTTAGTTAAGAGTCGGAAATAGAGCCACAAATGCTAGACGGAATACCAAGCCAGACTCTCTAAATCCCAAAACAGTAAACGACTAATTATATTAAGCACTTAATAAAAGATTTAAAAATTATTTACTGTTGAGCAGCACATTTTTGATGCTTAAATTTAAATCTGAGCATCTAACTACACATCGCATCCATTTCAATTGAAATAAACACATTTTAATTAACAGCGCAAGCTCTTTTTACACAGAATTCTCCATTTACTTAGAATCTATGCACTTTGCTTTTAACCTTCGCTAATTGTCATTTTACATTGTATGTGGGTTTAATCCGAAAGCTGCACTAACACAACTGTGAGCAACGCAAGCTGATTAGCTAATTGGCAGTTTTGCCAATGCAGAAAACTCTGAAAATTTGCACAGTAAAAAAGAAAAGTGTGGAGTAGAGGGTTGTGCAAATATGTGACATAAGCCATGTAACACTTAGAGCTCATCACAGCAGCTAAAACACGTTCAGAGCGCGTAAATTGTCTAAAGGACAAGGTCTGCCATGAAAAACAGACAGACAGACAGACCGCAGGACACATTTTTTACCTAGCTGTTTCCACCTGCAACATAGGCTAGTTGTTGTCTCTTGCCACAAAACGGGCATTTGCCACAACTGTGAGGGATATTATGGGGCACGTAATTTACGGCGACAGCGATAAAATGAGCTGCCAAAACTGCCAAAGACAGTCGACAGAGGGCGGCACATAAGATATGGTCACACTGAGAGCCATAACTATGCAGCATATTCTGTAGTTGACGTTGCCAAAATGATGTTGTCATGGCCAAGTTTCGGTCTGAGTGTGTGTGTGTGTGTGTTTGGCGTGTTTGGTGTGTGGGTGTCAGGCTCATAAATTTTTAGCCAAAAGCTGCTGGAGAGTTCCCCCCTTTCTCTAGCATCACCAGCCAGCTCTTTTACTCTGCCCTGTGGTTGCTCACCCTGGAATCTATTTCAATTTTCTCAGCTCATGATGAGATAATCATCGCTTTATCTAGATGAGCTGTCGATTTTGCTTGTGCACAAAGCTAAGCATGTTGCTTGTAAACTAATGACAGGAGCTTTTAGCACACACTCAATTAAACAAACATAATTAGGAAAAAAACAAATATTTAATATTTTTTAGGAACCTTTAAATCAAATAAAAGATTTAAATTAGTTATTTAAATCCGGAAGCTTACTTAAAGCTGAGGCGTGATTAAAGCTGAAAGCTTGCTTGAAGCTGAAAGCTTGCTTAAATCTAAAAGCTTGCTTAAATCTGAATTATTGATTAAAGCTGAATGCTTGCTTAAATCTAAAAGCTTGCTTAAAATCTGAATGCTTGCTTAAAGCTCTTTTAGTACGGGAAATTCTTCTCGTGTGCTATTTGAATAATCTAAAGATCTAAAGCGACTTTACTATAGTCAAGCTTTAAGTCCTTGAAAGCTGAGCAGTGTTAGCTTTAAAATGATTTAAAGCTAAGCAAAGTACGCTTTAAGTTAAAAAAATCCCAATTAAGAACATTTTGGTAGTTACTTTCGTGCTCTTGAAACCCCCAACCGATGTGTATTATATCTATATAGATGTCTGATGCTGTCAACAGCCATGTTATTGTCCAAGTCGGAGGATATTCCGTATTTTTAAATTAAAAAAGCACAGCATGCGCTGCAAAGGGCAGATCCCACACCATTTTCCTCTATATGCAAATGAGCA